TATTTATTTTTTAGTTCTCGGCGGACACAACATCTTTGTTGGTATGTGGTGCTGAGGATCGAACCCGGGTCGCACGCATGCCAGGCGAGCACGCTACCGCTTGAGCCACATCCCCAGCCCGAGCCTGGGCCTTTTAAGGCTCATTTAGAGTGTGGTAAGAGCAGAATTTAGTGTAAAACTGGGAGAACGTTGACAGCTGAAACCTCTAGGCCGGAGAAGCAGCCTCCTGGAGGTCCTACTGAGAAAATGCCTCCTTGTCCTGTCAGGCAATCTGACTCTTCTTGACATCATCTTACAGAAAACAGGTCTAGTCACACTGTAGTAATCAGCAACTACTACTACTGCTATTACTACAATGACTACTACCACTAACAACAACAACAACAACAACAATTTGGCACTGAGCAAGACACTATAGTACCACCTCTGATTTTTTCTGTTTAAAATAGTCCATGAAGTATCCTATCCCATTTACAGACCAGGCACCCAATGCTTAGAGAAGTGAAGCAATTTGCCTGAGGACACACAGGCAGACTGCAGCAGACCCCGCCCTCCCCAGTCTGTGTGTGCTGACTGCCCAAAACTACCACACTTGACACAGGGACACCGGGAATGGCTCTATTGCTTTGAACAGATCACTTGACCTCTCTGTCTTACTTTCTGGGAAATAAATGGGCATAGGCAGACTTGTCCAGATGACAGGCTACTTATCTTTTAGCCCTTGAATAATTAGCAATATCAATCAATAGAAAATTGATTATATATATCAATTATATAATTGCTACAATAGAAAAGTTGGCTTGGTTTAGTTAGGTTCAAACATTGTCATGTTTTGGGGAAAACAAAAACAAACACAAATCCTGATCCTTTCTTGAACAAGTTAGAAAAAGCAGTTGACAGGAATTAGATGTCAGGAAAAGTGAGTTTAGACCCTGGGCAAGACATTGATTCCCTGAGTAGTCTTGTCTACTCTATTTCTCCTTATTGGCTTCACTTTTCTGATCTCTGTTTCTTCATTAAGTACTGCAAGAAAATATAAAGACTGGCTACAAAATTACTCCTGATGCACGTATTTCTAGGGRTTTTTAATAGGGTGCTAAGGGATTAAAGAATGTAAAACAAACAGCCAGGCGCACACCCATAATCCCAGCAATTTGGGAGGCTGAGATTGCAAGCTTGAGACTAGCGTGGGCAACTTAGCAAGATTCTGTCTCAAAATCAAAAACAAAAAGGGCCCAGAATATAGTTCAGTGGTAGAGCACCCCTGGGTTCAATCTGCAATATGTATGTATAAATAAATAAATAAAGATTTAAAGCAGCAAGAAGGAAAGAGGATCTTTTAAACCAGAATACAAAGAAGAATACACAAGCCACTGAGGAAAACTTACTTTTTCTGCATTGTCACTTGGGCAGTAAAATAAGCCCAGAGCTAAGGACCCCGCACCTCAATGTCCCCAGCGCAGCAGAAATGCTCTCCTATACAATCTCCGCACACGCCTGTTTGGCCTTCCCTTTCTAATCTACTGCTGTCAGCAGCACCAAGTCAACTCAGAGCTCTCACACTTTAAATGCTCACCCGACCCAGGGAGGACTCTCAGCCCCCATTCCTTTCCCTTATTCGGGATCTTGGTATGCCCAGCCCAGAGGGCTGACTTATCCATATGGCTCCCCAATCCACTCCCTGAATTGTCCTCCTCTCCACCAGTTTCACACTGGTGCCATCAAAAGTGCCCATAATGCTCAGATGTTTCCAGTTTAACTGAAATACTAAAATGGGGCAAACAGGAAGCATCAGACACAACTGCGGTAGTGACTTATTAATCACGAAAGCATAATTTTAGTTGCATTTTAACCTTTTGCCAGGAAAAAAAAAAACAGCTATGAGATGATGGAAGCCATCAGTAGAAATATACTGGTTGTATGTGTATCAAGCTGATTGCAACCTTTTATTTAGGACAGAATTTAGTTTTAAGATTTCTGCTTTTACCCAGAAAGAAAATCTGTGAAGCTAACCAGGATGAATCTGTCAGCTCTTCACAAGCCAGGCGGGCCTCTTAGGAAAGTCCATGTGCTGTCCACTGAGACAGGAAGAAAATAGGAAACTAAAACTGACAGGCCAAAGTGATACAACACTCTTAAGAGGGGTCAAAAACCAAGTAAACAACCTCTGATAAAGTTTCTATCTCTTTTTCACCTCTACAGGTCTCTCACCAGATCCTAGCCAGAGATGATTCTTTATCACTTACCAAAAAGCTCACAACAGTCACCTAGGGCTGGACAACCAATCAGGGCTGGCCCTCTGCTCAGCATTAAGTGATAGATAAACACTCCAAGCAGATCACAAAGGAGTCAGTGTTCACCAGGAGACCAAAATGAGGAACCAAACTACCATCTGTTGAGGCGAAACGGCTCAACCAGACATTTTTGTTTAATAGATGAAGGCTCATTTGGCAGGGTCTCAGTGGTGCCGCTCCCACAAACTCTAACAGACAACACCAGAGGCAAAAACCCCCTTCAGAACTGCTCCTTATAATCAGAAAACAATCAGAAGATGACCTAAAGCTTAGCAGCTTATTGCTGTCTGATTTCACAAACTGGTACATATTATATTTCTGGGTACATATACTTGGATACTTCTTTCTAAACTTAAAGGCAGACACCCTAACTTTTGACATCTTCTGAGAAATTCATCACACCCTTCCAAATAAATGAGGATGTCTCAAAGGTGTTTGAGAAACTCAGAAGCCTGGCTTCACTCCAAAAACTCACTTTGACAATACTTTAGAAACATCAAGAGAAAATTGAAATACATCCTAAGCAACAAGCATCTTGCAAGAGTCCTCTCACATTAAGARTATAAATTCACACCAAACATTTCTCCATCCTTTCTCCATCTGAATGCTATTACATGGTCCTGATTTAGGAGTCTGAGACACCCACCCTCAGTTAGCTATGTGGCATCAGGCAAGATGTATGCCTATCACCTCAGGTACCTCACCAATAAAACTGGACAATCATAGAACACAAAGGGCTGAAGGGAAAAGATTATAGGTATGAAGATAATAAGAAAAAAAATGCATTACTAATATTAAGATACTATCTTCCTTTAATCTTTTAGAAAGACTTTTTTTTTAGTCACAGGGTTTTYAACATTTTTCCTGGAATAAACTTTAGTCTGCTATTTTGCGTCATGGTTCCATCTCATCATTTAATTTCATTCATTTTTAGAGTCCTTAATGGGTCATTGGTGCTCACTGTCTCTAGTTAAAAATAATTTTGTCATTGACACCACTGATTTCTGTATCTTTTCTCCATTCATCCTCTCCACATTAATTCATTCACACCCCAGTCCAGCCTTGAGGGCTGAGAGCAACATTTTAATTTCAACTTGGAAGGAAAGACTTTTTCTGAAGTTAGCAAGCAACAATGAGGTTCCTGGGTAGGTGGGCATCTGCACTGTACAACTGGCCTCTTTCTGCCTGGTGCCCAATGGCTGCAAGTTGCCAGAGCCATGATGGGCTTCCATCTGAACCGACAGGTAAAGTCCCGATGGGTCGCGGTCAGCGAGAAGGGAGGATGCTGCGGGTGGCCGTTGATGGGGTGTGACATCAAGCACTTCCCAGGGAAGGCCAGAACAGGTGGGAGTGCGCATTTCTTCAGGGGGTCATCCAGGGCGCAAAGCATGAGGGGCGGACCTGGTGGTGGGGCAGCTGCGCACGGCAGCAAGGGTACTGGGGAAGGGGAAGCAGAGCGCCCCTATGCGCGATCGAGGCGAACGTGTGGCCTGCGGAGGTGCGCGGCCTGCAGGCTCCGGGCGACCGCGGCGCTGGCAGCGCGTGCTAGGGCGCGCGAGCGGACAGCCCGGGCGTCCAGGATCCGGCGCGAGTGGGTCCGAAAGCCAATGCCTGACCACTGATCCTCCCCGTTACCGCGCGGCGGGCCAGGCCGCAGCCCGGCCCGGGACTGGGGGACGACCCATCCCCGCCGCTCCCTTGGTGCCCAGCTTCAGGTACTGCGGCCCCGCCCAGTCACCTACCGGCTGAGCGCCGATCTCCCCAACCAAGCGAGTGTGGCGTGCCGCTGGCCAGCGATCTCCMGCCGCGGGCCGCCGAACGCAGTCCTCTGAGCCCACGATCGCCCCGCCCCGGCCCCGCCCCGGGACCGCGCCCCACCCCCTCTCCACCTTCTTGGCCATCCTCCGGGCCACGCCTCCCCCCACGGCTGCGACTTTGCCGGGCTTTGGAGCCTCCTTTCTTTGGCCACACCACGACCCTTGGCCCCGCCCAGTATCCCAAACCAGCCAAYGAGACGGCCCATCCCGGTCTGCTGTCATTCCTCTCCCCAGCAACGATTGGTTAACGAGGTCAAGTTTACAGAAATGGGCACTATTTCCGGTCAAGGTTTATAGAGGAGGTTGCGGACCGATTTACAGAAGGCGGAGGCGGCCTTGGTGTTGGTGTAACTACACATGCGCACTCGGATTCTGGCACTCTTTTTTTTTTTTTTTTAACCGGTTGCATTCTTCTTGAGGTTACGGGAAGGAAGGGCGACTGTGCGCATGCGTGGGCACTCCCAGCTCTAACTTCGGTTACCCTAGAGACGAAGAGGCGCTCTCCTCCCGGGTCTCRTTTTTCTCCCTCTGCTGAGAGGGCGGGGCTGTTGTGGCGCGGGTGGAGGGTGGTCTGGTTGGAAATACTTTTATCGAGCACTTACTGTGTGCCTGGCACTGTAGAGTCCCTGAGGATGAGTAAGAAGGTTACACTGCCTGTCTTCGAGAAGCTTGGGGAGCTAGGGGCCTGCACAGGGCAGACCACGTGTGTTGAAACCCAGGGCTAAGCGTGCTTGTGGCGTGGTACATCCCCTTTAGGCTGCTGGAAAAGCAGTGTGGTGTGAGTGCTGCACGAAGCATCACCTCTTGAATTTACAGGCCAGAGAGAAGAGATTTTTACATAAATGAGAAGACAGAGTTTGAGTATACACTGAGGTATCAACAGTGCCACTTTCAGAGTGGGGCTGGAAGGAGGGGGAAGTACGGAACGTATAGATAGCTTTACTTTTCCAGTATTTGCTAATGTTTCGCAGTGGTCTTGAGTTGATTTCCATAAACATTTCAGATTTTACGTTGTCATAATGAGGGATTCCTACCCTAGGCTTCCTGACTTCATCAGGGGTCTCCTGCAGGTGTGGGGGCTGGCTTGAGAAGTAATGAGCACTCCATCTCTGGAAGGGTTTGAGCCAAGGCCACGCCACCATTTGCTTGACACCACTTTGCAGACAGTCCTAAAGCCTCTATCTGGAGATTTGTACTCAGCAGACATCTGATTTAGGGGGCTACAYATTCCTTCAGGTAGTTGTTGAAAACTCACAACCTGAGGGCCTCACCCACTCACCTAGGTCAGAAATATGCTTTATTTGGCTGGCCCTTTTGTGTGTGTGTATTTGAATGCCTTAGACTAGAGCCTACAGTCTCCTATAGTCCCCAGATGGTTATCTTATTCCCAACCCACTCAACCTTATATCATGACTGGCCCCCCGAAACATTTCAGGTTGGGGGTCACATTGAGCCTCTGCTCTGGAGCCAAACAGTCTTCGGGGCATATTCTGGCTCTGCCTGTGACCTGCTGGGAGATGGTGGGCAAGAAGGAAGCTGGACTTGGGGGCCCCTACAACTCCTTCCATTCCCAGGCTTTTTCATTTCAGTGACTCAAGGAGAGGGCGGAGCTGGGTCAGATGTTCAGGTTGGTATCAGGTCTTAGGTGCCTGTATGGTCCCTCCCATCACCTGTTGGCCTCTGGGTGCAGCACTTCTCTGGAAAGATGTGGGCACAGGCCCAGATTGTGCAGGCACTTCCTGGCTTGCTTTTGCCTTCTCCCTTTTTCACCCTTCTTTAGGACACCCAGTGTCCCAGTGAAGCCAGATTTAAAATTAGGTAGTCAGTGTAGTTAGGTAAATCCAGTCTAATATGGAGATGAGAATGAATCCCCGGAAAAGTTGAGCAACTCTTGAAATGTTAATGAAGTCCAGAAAACAGCCCCCAGCAGATTTAAAGATAGCCCATCCCAAAGAAATGTTAATGAACAGCCCCAGCAGATTTGAAGATAGCCCATCCAAAGAAGTGTTAAAGAACAGCAAACTTGAAGATGCTGCCTCAGAAGTCCTTCCTGCCCAGATTACTTCTTTGGCCCACCTGTGTCCCACCCCTTGGGCCTTCCCACCTACATTCCATCACCAAAATCTATAAAAAGGGGAACACATTCGCCCTTCAACGGATTCTACCTCTTGGGTYCCCGTCTTCCTCCGGAAGAAGTCTTTTCTTCTGTCCTTTAATAAACTTCTAATTTTCCACTCTGACCTTGCCTCGGCGTGCTTCTCTGGTGTTATTCTTCAACATTGGGGAAGCAAGTTCTCGTCACCGGTCAACAGTGGTAACACCAGTGCCTTACCCAGCTTCCCTTGACCCTTCTCTGGTTCTGGCTCCCCTGCATGCCCCACCTCTCCCATCTGGATTTTCCTCTTTTTAAACCTATGCATGAATACTAATGCATGTTAATGAGAGAGCCTGACTCTTAACCAGAAGTTGCAATTCCAGAGAAAGAGTTTCAGGTCAGGTGTCAGGGGAGGAACAACCACCACATACTAGTAAAGAAAGTATTTGGGACAAATGGGACTTCTTTTTGACTGCTTTTCTCAGGTCTTTTCAAGCCTCACTGCTTGTGGGGTGAGATAAAACAATCTGACAGCCCTTGCGAGGGAGCACTGGGGTGTTTGAGTCTTGAAATGCTTACACACCCTCTAGAAGGAGAGCTTCAGGGCAAAATGATTTCCTCCTGGCCTAAGTCACAACAACCTGGGAAGGCTTCTAGCCCTGAGTCACTTGTGCAGCCTTGGTCCTGCTTTAAATAAAATAATTGGCATTTACAAGGTGACTCACGCCTTGAGCAGTGAACTAAGCAGTGAACTAGGTTCTCTGTACTCAGGGGGTTTCACATCCCATCTATTTCAGGTCTGAAAATAGAAGGCTGAGGCTGTGCTGCTCCAAAAGAATGGCCTCTTCGGGTTTTTTTTTTGAGAGCTTGAGAAATTAAGCCAGGGAGCTGGGGTTGGGGCTCAGTGCTTGCTTGGCCTGTGTGGGGCCCTGGGCTTGATCCTCTGTACCACATAAAAATAAAATAAAGGTATTGTGTCCATCTACTATATATATATATATGTTGGTGTATATATTAGGCGGTAGTATTATGCAGCTCTCTTCCTATTCTGCAATCTATGACCTCAGGTTGGTAACTCAACCTGAGTTATATATATATTCCTTCAGGTAGTGATAAAAAAGTAAATTGAGCCAGATGCTTAGTGCTTCCTACATTTAACCTCACTGAATATTCTCTCTACGCCAGGCTTTCTCAACCTGGCACTATTGATGTTTTAGGTTGGATAACTCATTGTTAGAAGAGGTCTATCCTGGGTGTTATAGGATGTTTCAGAGCTTTCCTGGACTCTTTCCACTAGATAGATACAGTAGCATTCCTCTATCCATACTGTGGAACAACAAAAAATGTCTTCAGGCATTGTCAAATGTCCCTAAGGGAGCAAGTTTGCATCCAGTCGAAAACTCCTACAGTCTGAATTCATAGAGTAGGTACTATTACCATCTTTCTCATTTTATAGGTGAGCAAGCTATAGCTAAGAAAGAAGTAAATGTCCCAAGGTCACTTTGCTATTATAGAAGATCCAATATTCATACCTGGTGTGACTCCAGAGCCCCTGCCCTCCTGCCTGCAGAACTCCACAAAGAGACTTTGGGCTTCAAGAAGCCAACTTGTCCATCAGTTCTGTGGAAGAGTGTGTAAGCCTGATGCATTCATGAGAGAATTCGGTCCCTTGGACCATTTTTTCCTTTTCTGTTTGCCTTGGAGAAAGGAAATTATACTCTGTTTTTTTTACTGCCTTAGTCAGCACAGTTTATGGTGTCCAGCCGTGTCCAGTGAGAAAGTGGCTGGTGAGTCATCCGAGGGCCTTGGGATCTTGGGCCCCACATTCCTGTGAGATCCTGAGTTTCACTGAGAAGAATTCAGATGTGAGGCTGAGATATGAGATGGAGATGGATGTTTCTGGAGGAGAAATAATTTTACCTTCTCCATCAGGGGCCCACCCAAGTCTACCATTGTGGTGCCATTGCTGCCATCCCCAGTTTGGACCCATCCTGTTACTGCCATCATTCCAGAGGTCTGGGATGATGGTAGTCTAGAAACAGGGTGGTCAGGGAGGCAGGCGGGGGTATTATGCAGCTTTCTTCCTATTGTGCAATCTGTGACCTCAGGTTGGTAACTCAATAGTGGACTTGGTGGGTATTTACACCATGGAAATTGGCAAACAGTGCAAGCAGGGCTGCTCGCTCCCTAACCTGGTTGTAAAACACTCACCAGCACACCACTGCATGCTGATTCTAGCCCCTGCCTATTGCCCACCAAACTCACCCCACACAGAGAGATGAACCATTCAGCTAGTGGAAGAGAGAAGGAGCCATGGGATATAGGTGGCAGGGAGGAGAGGTGCCAATTTTGGCCAAGGGTGGAGCTGCTTAGGTGGGATACTTTGTGGGGCACTGGGCAAAGATGACCTTACCAAGATTGGGTCCTGGACCTAGCTCTCTGAGACCTTCCTCCTCTAGATTTTGGAGCCTTCTTAGGGAGCTGGCCTGATTCAAATTCTTCTTGTTTCCTGACTGGTTTTCTCTTCCTAACTTACCTCCCCACCAATTGTTTCCTTTCCATGTCATCCTCAACCCTTCTGGTGATTTAATCCTCCTAAGAGACACTTTGGTCAAATTGTTCCACCCAAAGCCCCAGCATCTCAAGTCCTACAACATGGGTGCCCTTGGTGCYCTTCGTCTTCCTTCCTTTGCCCTGTCCTTCTAACCTGAAAATACAACCAAGCTCCCCAGCCTAGAAATAAGAAATGCATAAAACCTCCCCTGTCTTGGCTTCCTTATGCTGTTTCCAGGTGTCTGCTTGGTCTCCCAATTGAGTGTACCCCTTGCAGTCTGGTCTCTGCCCATTATCCCTTCTTTCCGTGGATACCCACTCTCTGCCCCTAGCAGATGGCCTCGTCTCAGTT